CCAGGAGAACTCTGTTCCTTCGGGTCCTTTTTGTTTTTTGGTTTTGCCCACTGTTTTTAGGGTAACCGCCAAGGTTGGTTTCCCCCGCAAACGGTAAAAACCACCCCCCAAAAAAAACAGGGGCAGGGGGGGCTCCGGGGGGGGGGCTGGGGGGGCCCCCGCCCCCCCCCCCCCCCCCCCCATTATTTGAGATTCCACGCCCAACCCCATTATCTTAAGGTCTGGATCCGCCAATGATTGACCTTTAAGGAACAATATCAGTTTTTTAAGGAGCTGTGTCACGAAATTTGGCAAAATGCAATGTCTGGAAACTGGCAGCAAACTAAGTGAAACAAAAAAAAACCTCTTAAAACATCCAAAGAAGGTATAAATAACAAAGAAAATACAAAAGAATGCACGGATGGACCAACTTGAGGAAGATTAAAAAGTTCACTTTTGTTTCTTGAAACGTTTGATATAATGGGTTGGAGACATTTATTTCATACGAAGCTGTAATTTTGTCATTCGTAAGAAATTTATCAAGTTGCATGGTGTTAACTGCCGAGGCCGAACACCCGCTTCGATCTCTATAATTCTTCAGATGATACTCAGCCTCATTCAATAGTTGTGAATAATCACGTATATCTTGACGGAACAGTCGAAGACGAAGTTTATTGAGCATCAACACGACTGAACTTTGGTGCAATTTCTCTCACAATTATCGTTGTTTCTCTTAGATTTAACCTCTTTAGGGTAGGTTAAGTATAGAATACACTAAATCTAAACATGTCAAAATGATTATCCACCTTGAAGTTCTTTCCGTCCAATTGTATGAACCCATCAGACAAATCCACCCCATTGTCTTCGTTGTATCCAGCCTCGACGACGACACTCCCGCGGGACATCCCGTTATTTCCCGAGCCTGACTCGTCAAATATTTCTCCAGCGCATATCTTATCGAAGTCGTAGTACAGCACCGGTTGACACGTGAAGGGATACTCTACCAAAAAAATTTTTTTGGTCAGCAATAACTTGGTAAATGACAACCACACCAACAACAAGTAGCAGTAACAATCACTTTTTTCTCATGATTTTTGTGTTATACATATGCTATACTTAGTAGGATAAATTTTATGTTAACGACCACCATTTGGACTCAGAGGATTAGTCTCCTATTTTGCATTTCAAACTGCTGTCTCTATACCAAAAAAGCTTTCAACTACGGATGAAAAGGACCTTATACGGTGGCAAGCGTTTGTAGATACCAATATACAAAGTATGTACCTTTTCTTTCTTGAGCGGAATTAGTTTGAGGTACAGCCGATGCATTATGAGCTGGGACCTGGGCAGAAGTCTGTTCCGGGGCCTGGGGAGTAGCCTGTGCTGGAGCCTGGGGAGCAGTCTGTGCTGGGGCCTGGGGAGGCGTTTGCGCTGGAGCCTGGGGAGCAGTTGGAGCCGCTGGTTGTGCGGGCTGCACTTGGTCAGTGAGTGGTACTTGTACTGGCTTTGCTGCTGCCAAGTGATTCACTTCTGAAGAGGGGTACTCCGCAGCCACTAGGGAAGGAATGGGAAATCCGTGTTAAAACAGAATTAAAACTGTACACCGCACACTGAAACTAAATCCTCCATTCTACGAAATAGTGCTAAAATCGAAAAATACAGAACAAAGCTACGCTTCTATACATGGAAAAACATCTTAGCGAATGTATCGAAAATGAGTTAACTTTTTAATTTTACATCTGATATTCGTGAAAGGCAATAAAATGCTTTTGTACTGGGTTTGTTCAAAAACTGTTATAAGCACGCTCACGAACCCAAGCTCTCGAGTGCGATTGCTTACCATTACAGATGATTTTGGAGACCTTTTCAGCCTCTGCCGGGGACCTCAGATCGTTAACTCGTACGGCGTACTTAGGATCTGTGGTCATACTTTGTAGATCCTTTTCATCAATGTTCGGGCTTCCTACAGCTACGACCTAAAAAGAAATTACACAAAAAGTCAGGAAAAGTCCCATTTATTTTTAGAGCAGCGAGCTTTATCACCT